TCTATTTACATAAGTGACGTGACAACAATGTCAAAGTAAAAGCATCAGTCTGTTAATACCATGAGTTACTGATGAAAAGAAATTATTCATTTAAGACGCTTATGTAAATACTAACTTAGTTAAGAGTACTGAATGCTCAATATTTAGACACGTTTCATATTGACAACTTTGAGAGCACACTGAAATATGAAGGTATTGATTTTCACATAACTTTAACTTACGAAATCCTAACAGTGAATCAAAAACCAGAAAGTTCTACGATGATGCCACTGCAGAATGATTTTATCTTCAAAAATACACTTCCGGGGGGGGAATAATCCACAAATTTTCTTAAATATGTTTGCATATTCTAGGTAAACATGTTAGAGACCCAGACAGAATTTGCATTTAAGAAGAAAGCCTTAAAACAAGGTGACAGGCATAATTTCAGCTCTCTTAGAAAGCGAAAAGGATACAAAAATCTCCATTAACAAAAAATTTTGATTCCCAAACCACCCTTCATTGTCAGAAGATACAACACAACATTAGAATTGAAATAGAAGGGGAGTATGGAGTAGTATCTGATAATGTGGGTGAAGATCTCAAAATGCATATATTGTTAGGAATAATTATAGGACAGCCAGTGCACCCTCCAAAAATACAAGATGAGTCTGAGAAGCTTACAGAGCATCAAAAAAAAAAAAAAAAAAAAAAACTGTAAGAGAGGCCTGATATCATAAGTAGGATAGGAAAGGAACAGGGAAGAAAATGTAGCAGAGAGGCTTGGGATTAGTGTGATGTCCAGAAGCCTGCAAATGTCTATGCCTCCAGCCACAGGGAGCAGAAGATACAGAGCGAGTCAGTCCTTTACTGTCCCTGGGCCCCAGGGCACAAAATTTCAGGAGCTAATCACTCACTCTGAGTAGTGCAAGTTGACGACTCTCCCAACGGGAGTCTCCTTCAATTCTGCGTCCTCTGAACATGCCTCACCTCAGTCCAGGTTCCGTGGGTCCCTCTGCCCCAGCTGACCCCCACAAGGAAAAGGGACCTACTCGGAAAGACCTATTTGGAAAAACTCTGCCTCTTTCAAAACATAGTCTTCACACCTGCTGCCTAATATCAAATTTGTTCTGCTTACAGATGAAAGTTACTCCAGACTCAATGTGAGTGATAACCATCAGCCCCCCCCATTTTTTTTTTTTTTTGGTAATAAAGAGGAGGTGCTGAGAAAGTCTTGGATTCCTAAAGGGAAAGGGGAGGTGCAAAGAAACAGAACAAAAGAGACAACAAACTCCCAGAGGCTTGTGATTTGCTTACAGTGTCATGATCTCCTTTCCCCAGAGCAGGTCACTCAAGCGGCAACTGAGGATCTCCGACCTATTTGCAGAGTTCTGTTTTCTTTTGCTGTAACTTTTTGCAGATTCAGAAGTATATTTTATAGAAAAACAAACAGTGGTTCAATCTATTTTTAAAAAACTTTTTCTTGGGGCACCCGGGTGGCTCAGTCGGTTCATCGACCCACTCTTGATTTCAGCTCAGGTCTTGATCTCAGGGTCCAGGGATCAAGCCCTGCATTGGACTCTGCACTCAGCACGGAGTCTGCTTGTCCCTCACTCTCTGCTCCTTCCTCTGCATTCTCTTTCAAATAAATAAAAAAAATAAAATCTTTAAAAAAAAAATCTCTCTCTCCCCCTTCTTCTGCCCCTCCCTCCCCATGTGTGCATGCTCTCACTCTCTCAAAAAAAAAAAAACTCTTTTTCATAAAACAAATTCATTATTATAGAACTTATTAATTCAGAATACCTGATAATTTAGATATTGGTTGAAATTTAAGTATATCTTTACATGAAATATTTTATCAACATATTACATGAGAAAATGGTTGCTGGTAAATGTTTTATAAACTTAAAATCTTTTCTTTAGGGGCGCCTGGGTGGCTCAGTGGGTTAAGCGTCTGCCTTCGGCTCAGGTCATGATCCCAGGGTCCTGGGATCGAGCCCCACATCGGCTCCCTGCTCAGTGGGGAGTCTGCTTCTCCCTCTGCCTCTGCCCCTCTTCCTCCCCCTGCTTGTACTCAAACTCTCTCTTTCTCTGACAAATAAAGAAATCTTTTAAAAAAAAAAAAACCTTTGTTTCCAAGATTAAGACCACGTTGATGTTTTAAATGTTATTTCTTCATTAATATATGATGATCAGCCTCTCCATTTGCCAGCTACAGGAATTTGTGTGTGTGTGTGTGTGTGTGTGTGTGTGTGTGTTTAAAAGTAATAAAACGTCTTCCCTTTGCTGAAAGATTTTAAAGAAGAACCAAACAAATAAAAAGACATCCTGTGCTCATGGATTGGAAGAATTAATATTGTTAAAACAGCCATACTACTCAAAGCCATCTGGAGATTCAATGTCAACCCCATCAAAATATAAAAGGCATTTTTTTAAGAAATAGAGTAATCTGAAAGTCTGTGTGCAGTTTGTTAAAAACAGACAATTATAATGTATTAGCGGTATGTAATGTGATAGATATCATTACAACCATATTGCAATATACAAATGTATCAAAGCAACACAATGCCCTTATCATTATCAACCTTCCCTGGGCTAGTGTTTTAGGATGTCAGAAAGGCATTTTTATAAAATTGGAAAGATGTCTGATTTTAGCCATGTTGCCTCATTGCAGCTGCTTCTGAGCCTTCAGGTAAGAAGCTAGCTATACCCTGTGATGCGAGTAGAAACAATTCCTTTAAATAATTTGGGAAGAACTATCATTTCCACAGTATTAAATATCAACCCAGGAATCTGCTGAATTCCTCTATTCAACTTCTGATCCTCATCATGCAATCAATAACCCCAAACTCAGCACAAAGTTCACTCTCAACTCTGGTGTCTTTCAGCTACTCTGCGCCTTAGGTTTCCTTGGCCAAAAAGAAATGCAACCCTTTGGCCTCCATCATGAACCTTTGCTCTCTAGACAAAAGGAAAGGGGCATATGGAATCATTTATCTATGCAAAATAACACTCTTCATGGGCCCCAATATTTAAAATCTTTTTCCAATAATAGATTCTGCCCTCTCTTTCTCTCCCCCTTGTTACATAATATATAATTCTTCTACGTGTATTTTTTTCTGTCACTTAATTAGGTACATGTCTCATAAGCAGAACACTGTGGGCATTTTCTTTCATCCCTTCCATTCCATCTTTTTATCCTAATTCAGACTAGGCCACTTATGCATTCATCAAGATTTGCATTGTTCTTAGTAATCTATACTTGATAAAGCATGATGGAAATCAGGTGAGGTTTTTTTTGTTTTGTTTTGTTTTTTTAAGTGATTCATGGCAAAAAGCAGGTTTGGTGAAAGGGTTCACATATTAACACCAAAAGGAAAAGTGAGGTCAGCCAAGAAGTGGTTTTTGAGGCCAGAGAAACAGTGCAGAGGAGGGAAGAGCTCCCAAGAGCAGTTTATTTTTAATCTCAGGCTGTCAATAAAGAGAGTCATATAACTTCGAACCAGAATCTGTCCATTCTCCTTTCTTTTTTTCTCATTCCACAATGCCATACTTTCACAGAGGCTCATCTTATTATCCTGCACCATTTGACATTTTAACACATTCTCCTATAAGGAATCATTGCAGACCCCAAGCATCAGCTTACAGTAGCTTTCAGGAACCTTCACACCTTCAAAATGGGGATTTTTGAGTCCTACAGTGTCAGTCCTCTGAAGAGAGCACCCGCATCTCTGTCAACCTTTGGCAGCCTGGACAAAGCCTGGGACATACTCTGTGCTTAATAAGTGTTGATTAGAATTAAATTTAATCACTGTTATTCACAAAGAACGCTTTTCATTTCCCAGTACATTCCTTAGCTCATCTCACAGATATTTAAGTTTCCTCAACATACTCTGGTATGTTTCTTTATGAAATTAGATCAATACATAAGGTAACCATACATTTCAGTGTCTCCTGGGGAGGAATATCCACATATATATACTCCTATGATAAATGTTCATATATCATACATGAACTAGCTTTTATATCATATCTCACCTCTGTGACTCATCACATTTGTGGAAAACAAAGGTCTCATTGCATCACTAAGAACACAAAATAAAAGTACTTTCAAATCGTTGCTTACATAGGAATGGAAGTAGTGAGACTCTAAAGAAATGACTTTTAACTTTCAATAAATCTGATGGAACCTACACATGTTAAGCGCTCTTATCCAAGGAAAATAATCTATTTAAGATGCTATACAAAATATTTATATGTTGCTATCATTTTCAAGAATCATTTTGGAGGGACTTTCATAGCCATTTCATAAATCATAAGAAAAACCATATTTTAGAGTGTCTTCTTGCACAAAAATCTTTATTACCCATCTCAATGACTCACTCTAGTCTCTAGACATGGCTATAAACACTTTCCAACCATTTTTAAAAATAAAATCTACCCTCAAAGAAAGAACATGTGTTCCCACTGAGGATATTCAAAAGAATCCATCACAGGACTTCAAGTCACCACTGTGTGAGAGATTCTAAAATATACTCTGAAGAACAGGAACATAAAACCCCAAGATGAATTCTAGGGGAATCTACACATCACATGAACTCCTCTAAGGTGAGGCTGTATGTAAACGATAGCGTGTGGTGAGAAGGCTACATTAATTGTTCAGGAATGGCATTTTTTGTTCACAATAACTAGCAGTATCGGGGCAGCTGGCTCAGTCAGTTAAGCATCTGCCTTCGGCTCAGGTCATTATCCCAGCGTCCTGGGATCAAGCCCCGAATCAGGCTCCCTGTTCAGTGGGGAGTCTGAGTTCTCTCTCTCTCTCTTTCTCTCTCTCTCAAATAAATAAAATCTTAAAAAATAATAATAATAACTAAGAGTACCAAGACTCCTTCTCTGATTTCACTGCCCGATTCACATGAAAAATCATGTCCTATTCATAATATAGAAATGCAGTTTCCTAGAAGATAGCACTGCATTCAAATCAAGGAAAAGATTAACAAACTTCTTGGGATGTTACTTACATCAACAAGCTGATTGACTCCACTTGCTGTTTTCGCCAGCGTGACAAGGTCTTCTTGCATTTTATCCACCCATGACTTGATGCTGCAGAAATCAGAAGAGAACGTACTATCAGATCTCTGGCAAACTGAAGCCACACACATACTTTATTTGTGCTGTAGATAATTCACTAAACTGCCTCTAAATCTTTCTTCCCCCTCCAAGTTCCTACTATGTCCACCCTCTCAACCCACTTTCACATTACAAAAACAACGAACTTTCAGTGGTCAACTTCTTAGGATGCTGAGATCCCACAAAAAAAAAGAGAAAATGACACAGATGTCTTGTCCAACATAAGGGTACATGTTTCCTTAATTTTTATGAGAATTCTATTAATAATTAGTTACTAAATAGAATGTTCTCAACTAAACTTTACCCTTTAGCTTATAATTCTTCTTAATATAACACAAAGGGTATGCTACATATAAAATATTTTAAAAAAAGAAAATATAAATAATTTTAAGTTTCTCATAATTCCATTACCCAGGGATAACCACTGTTAATATTTTGATGTATTCCATCAAATATTTTAATATATTCTAGTCTTTTAAAATTCTTTCACATGGTTGAAAGCCTATTATGTTAAATTCACATCTTTGTTTGCTTTAGGTCATATGATAAATACTCTCCCATGCCATTACATATATTTTATAAACATTGATTTTAATGGCCACTTAATTTTCCATTATCTCTACATTCCATAATATATTTGGCCATCCTTTTTTGTTAAAAGACAGAGTTTCATCAGCTTTAACAACTACAAATTACACAGCAACAAATATCTTAGTGCATAAAGCCTAAAAGTATTTCATTTCCTTAACTAGACTCTTAGATTTGGAATTCTTGGATCAAGGCTGATGTTTTAAAGGAATGGTTTTGAACACCGAAAATCATGATTGAAAGATTTCAGTTCAAATCCTTTTCATGTATGTATTTCAGATTAATGAAATGGAGATCTTATAATACAAGTTACAGATATCAGGACATTTTAGAAAAGCTTAAATCAATGGTCTTACTTCTTCCTGGCATTAAAGATATTACCGAACAGCACACAATGTTCCCTATTCAAATCAATATAGTTTGCAATCCCTTCATATATTATATTTATTCATCCTTATTTGTAAAAAGATATACAATATGTATTCTTTTCTGCCCATGCAAATATAAGAAAACACTAGTTAGAATGACAGGATATGACTTATATTTGAATTTGAACTTCTCTCTACGTATATATGACATGTGTATCTCTCCATTGCTTATTTATTCTACCTCTTTAAATTTTATTAGTACCAAGTGTTCTCCCGCCTTTAAGAGACCACATCTAAGAGTGGTTTTGAAAAGTGCTGTTCTGAAAAATAACTACGTATTTCGTAAGTGTTCCATCATGAGATTTAACCAGGTTTGTCTTTCTTTTCCTTGGATAGATAAGAATTCCAATAGAACAACAATGTTACCAACTTTTTGTCAGATATATTTAAATGTAACAGAATAAAAAATAAATGCAGGGGGAAAAAGCGTGATGTAAAAAGGGGATTTTTTTTTTAAAGATTTTATTTATTTATTTGACAGAGAGATACACAGCGAGAGAGGGAACACAAGCAGGGGGAGTGGGAGAGGGAGAAGCAGGCTTCCCGCTGAGCAGGGAACCTGATGGCGGGGCTCGATCCCAGGACCCTGAGACCATGACCTGAGCCGAAGGC